ACCCTTGCCTTTTCCTTTCACACTAAATCACTCAGTCCTGCAGACCTGTTGTTCCCTGCTAACAAAGTCTACACAGTTTAGGAATTAAAAAAAAAAAAAAAAAAAATGTGGAAAAGCTCAAAACCACATTTTCTCCAGGCATATTCTTCTCTTTTTATCTCTTAAAGCATTATGGTTTTCTGCTCCCTTTTTCAAAAGGCTGTATTAAACTGTTCTTAACCAGTCTGCACAGTGTTGTTTGTGCTAAGATATGGGACTTACTGGGTAGAATACCTTAAAATGTAGTAAAAAAAAAAACCAAAACAACTTAGAAGTCCTGGCAAAAGGAAGGGAAGGTATGAAGTACAGTGTGTATCCCTGAGGCAGTCAAAACAGCTTTGGTAGTGATTTTTAGAAAAGATTTTTTGGATAAAATCAAATAATTGGAGGTATCTTGAGCACATCTTCTACTTCCTAGGTATAAAGCCTGCTGGTAGCAAATGGAGCCCAGAAGCTACAAAAAGATTTCATAAGTGCACTGCAGGAATGAAGCTTCAAGCCAAAATAGTTTCATTTTCCAGAGATGGGGCAGGTGTAGAACTTATTGACAATTCCATGGGTCATCCAAAAGTGATCACTGAGATGCTAATTTCTGAGAAATTGGCTGAGAAGGAAGATCTGCAAGATAAAAATACTTTTCCAAGTCAGTCTGATGATAAAGGTAACTGAATGAATGTTAGCTTTTAGATTTGAAAAGAATTTTCAGCGTTCTAGCTGTGAACCATCTTCCTTTTGTTTAATCATAGATGATATCAATAGTAAACGTGCTTAATTTTGAGTATATCATGATGTTTTTACAACTAAACAGAAGTGCCCCTGTGGGCATTACAGACAGAAAAAGGAAAGTAAAACATCATTAGATTTGTCTTAAATGAATTCAAGGGGGATATTTGACAGTGGAGAGTTGAAAGTCTGCTGCGTGGCTGAATCTTTTTTCATATTTACTTCTTATTTTTAAGTTTTTTTTAGTTCTTTCTTACACTAACAGCTGTTCACTCTTAATTTGCTGTTTGTGTTGTTTTATGTTTCTCCGCTTGAAATATAGAAATTGTCTGTACAATTCAAAATAACAAAATATTTACAGATTACAAATTAGCAGGTGTTTACATCATGTATGTACTTAGAGAAAAGCATCATGCAGCATTTTCATGCTCTTTCTTACAGAAACCTCACTTGGGCACTGGGAGTCAATAGAATTGGCAGTGGATCAAACCGTATCTGTCTGCGTGACAGAAGTTAGAAGCCCAGACTTGTTTTATGTTGTACCAGCTTATAGCAGAGGTAAGAAGGAGTTCTGTTCTCTTTTCCTGATATTGATGAAGTTTTTGTTGTGAGTTAGTTGGTAAGATGAATGCTTATAGTGAACCGAACTACTTGGAAGCATAGCTTAGACAGCAGAAAAATATAGATTAAAATAATTAAAAAAAAAAAAAAAAAGCCAAAGGCAAGAGTAGAGATGAAGAGTTTAAGTACATTCTTCATTACCTGCAAATGTGGTTAATCATCTTTTTTTTTTTTTCTGCAGATGGAGATAAACTGCATAAGCTGTTGACTGAACTACACGACTACTGTAAGTCTTGTAAGAAGCAGCCTTTCAGACCAACGCTAGGTGAAGCCTGTTGTGCCAGGTTTTCAGGTGAGGGAATCTTTCATTCTTACACTTCCTTAACAAGTGTAAAACACGTTTTTCCCTTTCAAAAAAGGAGGAAAACCTACTAACTGTTTGCCAAGTACAGTTTGGTTGTATTTTTAGAGCAAAAAGTGTGATAGTCCAGAAGAGAAAAGGGTAAATATATTGTGCACTGCAAAACGTATGGAAGAGGACATATTCTGCTGATACAGTACTTAAAAGGTTAAAAAAAAAAAAAAATAGTGTTGACTAACAAATATTAAATGTTGACTGTGTGTGCCTTGCTACAGGAGATCTAGTTGAGTGTTGATCAGCCTTAACTTACTAAATACTGTAAAATAAAGTGCTTGTTGAGATAAGAATTTATGGAAACAGGGTTGATGAATTAAAAATAAAGCTACATGGAACATAAGTGTTGTTTGTCAATTGTTTGTTGGTTCTTTCTGTTGTCCAATTTCTTTTCTTGTTTACAGCAATCTGTGTTTATGAGTGTAGCTTTCATGTGTGATTCTTCTTGTTTCAATCTTTCCAGGTGATGGGCGTTGGTACAGAGCTGTTGTTCTGAAAGTTTCTCTGTCCACAATTGAAGTACTGTATGCAGACTATGGGAACATAGAAAATGTACCACTTTCAAATGTGCTGCCAATCCCTGATGTCTTCTTAAAGATTCCTTTTCAGACAATTACATGTTCACTTGCAGGTAAGAACAAAACAAATGAGAACGTGACGTTTTAAATTGAAAGTTATTCTAAGTCTACATCTCTTCTGATGATGGTATTCATTCCTGAGTAATGATAAGCATGATCAATTGAAATAGCTATCACAGTATTAACCAGTACACTATTTCAGAAAAAATTCTTAATTAGTGATAGGATTTTGGCTGTTTATTATGGAAATTTAGTGTCACGTTTTCAAAAACTGTGATATTATTTGTGAGGTGAATAAAAAGGAACTCTTAACAAATTTGACTACTTTTTTTTTTTTTTTTTAAGGAATAAAGAAAGTTGAGTGGTCTCCATTGGTTCTTGACACACTAAAGGAAATGTTGCTGAATAAATATGTCACAATCACAGTGAAAGGACTTAGTGGAAATATTAGATTGGTAGAAGTGGAGAAAGAGAGTGAAAATGGCAGCCTGAATGTGGCAGACAAATTAGTAACGGAGGGTTTGGTGAGATACTGCAACGCTGCAAACTCTGATGTTGCACATCAAGGTACTTATCTTCACAGGCTTCTCAATTTAAACATAATTTGAAGAACTGTGAGTGCTTTAGGAAATGCCACGTACCAGCTCACATGTGAACACTGCTTCCCTTATCTTACTCCTTCACTTACTTGGTGTGTTTCATTTCTTTTGTAGGCAGCGAAAGTGAGACCAAATGCTGCTGTGCAGAATTAAAAATGCAGGTAGGTAAGAAACAGTGCTAACAGCCCTCACTTTGTGTGTTTCCAGAATTTCTGAAACCCTAAGTGGGAAGCATGTGGGAGTAGGAAGGCAATAGCTAACTGAAACACTGAAGATAAGAGAAAGGAATATGCCAGTTATTTTCTAGGGTTTTCTAAGGGATTACAGCCATATTGGAACAGCCTGAAACTGAGAAGACAGCATACAGATCACACATTAGCCTATGCTTTGCCACACATCCAAGTCCGTTTTTTTTGTTTGTTTGCTTTGGGGGTGAGGTTGCAGGGTTTTGTTTTTTCTCTCCTGGAGCATAAGGGCTCAGGATGTTACCTTTATGTCTGCTGTGTGAGGGTAGTTGCTGTGTTTGCATAAACTGCAGCATGCAGGCAGTGGCAACTGGATATTCTTTCAGTAACAAAGCTGTGTTTTGCTGTGGATTCAGCTTGACAGACAGCTGTATGTGTAAGGAAGCTTGAGATAGATGCGTATTTCAGGTGGCACGGATGAATATTAATGCATGCCACATTCTGTCATGGAGCAAGGGGTGAGAATTTGTGTTCAGGATATTGGAACTTGTAGCTGTTTGATAGTTTCAAGAGCTTTACCTCTTGGTAAATAATTAACATCCCCAGTCTTAAGAGTATTCCATTATTATGGTCATAGAATTATCTTTAAAAGGAAAAAAGTCAGAATTCAGGTGTGTTCATCATAGAAAGGAACTGCAATTCAATGAACTGATGTGGAATTTGGCTGAATTTTGTAGTTTTAGGAACTGCCTTAATCTGAAAGCACACAAATTGTTTTATTGCTATTTCTAATACTTTTTCTCCCACAGCTTAAAAAACATGAACAGGTTCTCCTCTTCCTTTTAAACAAACACCACAATCCAGACAGATACGGAGAAATGAAAAAAATGTTGGAAAGCTGAGTCTGAAGTTCTGTTCAGTTTATATGGAATCATGGAATCACAAGGTTGGAAAGGACCTACAAGATTATCTTTGGAAGAGCAGTTTTATTCATTGTAGTAAAAATGAGTTGCTTCCTCTGTTGCTTAAATAACTGTATCAGTCTGTGTATTTGGTTATCAAATGTATAATGTTAATGATTTCAAAGCTGCAAGCTGAACTTTTTGTTCTGTTTTTGTTTGGTAGCTTACTGTTGATGAGCTTTTTTTGTTTTTATTTTGCTGTTGAACGCACATAAGTTTATGGAATTGTCACAGCATCTTGAAAATACCCTGTTAAATTAAAAATGATTGTAATCATAAAGTTCAACTGTGGTACGATTAAAACTCAACTCTTTGAAAGGGTTAGGTAACTGCAGGACGGGGGGAAATGGTTTTAAGTTGAGGGAGGGAAGATTTAGGTTGGATGTCAGGAGGAAATTCTTTACAGAGAGAGTGGTGAGGTGCTGGAACTGCTGCCCAGAGAGGCTGTGGATGCCCTGTCCCTGGAGGTGTTCAAGGCCGGGTTGGATGGGGCCCTGGGCAGCCTGGTCTGGTATTAAATGGGGAGGTTGGCAGCCCTGCGTGTGGTGGGGGTTGGAGATTCATGATTCTTGAGGTCCCTTCCAACCCTGGCTGTTCTGTGATTGATTTTACTTAAACAACTCTATCTTAGCCTTACTAGTCTTTCAACTTAATTTTAGGCCTCTGTAAAGTTAGACAGCATCGTTAAAGGCTGCCTTCTTGGTTTCCACCACTTTCACACTAATAGAGAAGTCCTCTTCTGATTGATTCAAGTTTCTCTATTGCAGCTGACCCTTGCTATTCTGCCGTCATTGCTGTGCTTTCCATTGCGTTACACACCTCTAGGTGATACGCCCACTGTGTAACATAAATGCTGTGATAGAAACTACCATTAAAGTACTTTTATGTAGAAGAGCATCAGTGGCAGCGGCCCTAAACCCTCCAGGTGTGCCCTCACCATGCAACACAAGGCCACAGCGCCCCTTTTTACATCACATCCTCGGAGTATTTAAAGACCACCTTTCTCCCAGCTCTAAAAGACAGCTGAGCGCACAGCGCCGATGTGCCGCACGGCTGTGTCCCACCACGACCTGCGGGGCGGGCCGGGCAGAGGCAGGGCTCCGTTCCCGGCTCCTCCTCCTCCCCGCGGAGCCGCCGAGGGTCGCGCAGAGCCCGGCGTGGAAGCGCCGCCGGTGAGCCCCGCTCCGGGGATGGGTACGGGGGGCCGCACATGGGGAACCGCAGGCGGGCGTTAGTTAGGGGACGGAGGAGCATCGCCCCGAAGCCATGTGTTTATGGGGCAGCAGACAGCCAGACTTTGCCCTGCTTTGCTGCTCTCGGGTGAGTCGTTTCTGCGGGGTGCGGTAGGGGAGAGGTGCTGAGCGTGCCGGGGCAGCTCCCAGACGGGCTGTGCCTCGCGTCTTGAGTTTAGACTGTCTGCAGAAGACGCAAAGACTGGAGGAGCCGAAGCGATGTCTGCAGCGCGCCTAGGCGAACGGCTGAGAACGCTTTCAGCCTTCGGCTGTGTGCAACGGGGCTTTTCCTGGCGTGGCGCGATGGCTGCAGGTACAGCTGGGTGAAATAAGTGAAGAAAAAAAATCTCCTGCTCCTATGCTGGTTCTGTAGGAAAAATTAACTGTGGAAGATTCCTGCATTGTGAGGCTCCTTTAGGAAGACTTTGCCCAGCAGTGCATGCAGGTAGCAGCCTGTGCACATTTGCAGGAGTGGTGCCATGGCAAAGGCTGGCCCTGCAGCTCACAGGGCTCCTCATTGCACGTTGCTCTGTCAGAAGGGTCAAATAGGAGTGAGGAATGGTGTGCTGAGGTGGAGACGGTCCGTGTCATAGCCATGAGACAAGAGGGAATGGCCTCAAAGTGCAGCAGGGGAGGTTCAGGTTGGATATTAGGGAAAAATTACTCACAAGAGCATTGAGACAATTGGCACAGGCTGCCCAGGGAGGTGGGGGAGTCACTGTTCCTGCAGTGTTCAAGAAACAGAGATGTGGAGACATGGTCAGTGGGCACGGTGGGGATGGACTGATGGTTGGACTGCATGATCTTAGAAGTCTTCTCTAACCCTAATGATTCTACATCCTGAGAGCTGAATTGAGTAACACTGATGATAGAGTCCAGCCTGTGCTGTAGGTAGTGAATACAATTTTAGGCTTGAAAAGCTACAGTTCGCCCTTTTCAGTTTTGGATGTATGGGGAAGGACAAAGCAGAGCTCTTTCCTTAAGAGGAAAGTTTGCTGAGGCACAGGGTGCTGATCCTCACCCACCTGCTTAGGAACTGCTTGCACCTGCCCATGATGCAGGTCCATCACTCGCTGATCTGCCTCAGCTGTGGCTGCTCCCGGCTGGGACTTGCTGAGTGGGCACCTCTGCAGCTGTTCAGAGCTGCAGGGGATGACTGTAGGATTCACACCTGTGCCCAGTGCCTTGAATTAGCTCCCAACCTGGGTACACTACCACGTCCTCTGCGTTTTTTGATGACCTTGGTGTAGTTATATTTGTGTCTTTCTTTACCTTACACTGTGGCTGATTTATCTCAAGACCCCAGGTTCACACAGGTTCTCTTCTCCCCAGCCATCCCACAAAGCATTTCCTCCTACACTCGCTACCCACTGGTGGAAGCAAGCACTCCATGCCTGGACTGGTGGGCTCTGGCTCCCTGGGATGCCCTTGGACGGGGCATCCAGCAGAGGATCCAGAAGAGATGTTCATGGAATGCACTTTCTCTGGGCAGGGGAAAAGCCCGTTGAAGCTGTTACTTGATGCAAAGCCAGGTGTTCTGGATAAAGTAGCTGGTTTTGTAGAGCATCTTAGGACAATTTTAATTTAGTTTCTCACTTGTAGAAAAACATCATTGGAAGCTGTAGAGTGATGTTTTGGTGTGTATTTGAGTGCTAGTTGAACATTTCCTCATCCTCTTCTTCCTTCTCCCTGCAGCTCTGCCTGCTGTTCTCCCCTTAGCTATCCCTAGCCAGGGCACAGTGGGTGCATGGGGCTCCCCACAGATGTGTCCCACCTACCTCTTAGCTGCCCACTGAGGAGATGAAGCATCCCGAACTGTGTGTGTTCCAGCCTGTGCCTTACTTTGGAACCAAAGAAACCTCTCAAGCCCTCACTGTTTTGCATGAAAACATCCCCAGATCCCCCACAGCTGTCCCCTCTGGCTGCAGGTGGAGGCTTACCATTCCTCTGGTGTGTGCTCTGGGATTAGCTCCTAAAAAGCTGTCCTGGGGGTATGGCAGGAGCATGACCTTCCGTCCTAGGCACATGCTGGAGCTACTGAGGGGCACAGGGGCTGCCTTGGTGGAGGTGTGGTTTGTGTTCTCCTCCCTTCACTTGAGCAAACCTGAGATCTGTTAATTTGGCCAGGTAATGCTTGTGAAACAATGGAAACTGCAGGCCATGAAGCCTGGGCCATGACCAGGACACTGGGGTGGGTGCCAGAATGCTCTAGAGAGTACACACAGCCCTCTTCATCTGGAGAAAAAATAAATACATGTATTGCAAATTGAAATCCATTGCACACTGTATCTAAATCTGGGCCTGCTTGGGAGTGCTGCTGCAGTCCACCAACAAAGCAATGGCAGCCGTTCTGATTTTGGAGGAACAAAATGAGCAGAAAACTGACCTTTACACATAAAAGCATCTCCACAGCAAGCCAGTCCTCAGAAAATAGAAGGCTGGAAGAACCTGTGGCTGGGTGTTGCTGGGGATGGGCAGTCCTTCCTTCCTTGCAAAACTGCTTTCTGTTGTGGGATGAGCACATGGGAGGAACTTTCTCCTCTATCATTCCTTCTATTTGGATGCTTTTCCACCTATTTCCTACCCTTCTCCCCATTGCTTTTGCCCTGAGCACGTGTTTCAGAACTCTTCACGTGAGACAGTCAGCAAAGAGATGTTAGCTGTAGGTAAAGAAACCTACTTTAGGAATTGGGTTAATTGGGTTCCTTTCCTTTTTTTCTTTATTTCAGATTTGTCACCATGAACCTCTTGCCATTCGAGTCCCTCTGTGTTTTCCTGCTTCCCCAAGGTATTGAAAGCCATCTTTTTGCATCAGGGGTTTCTGTAGCAAATGTTTCCCTACTTCCAGATGGAGTTCTTTATGGGAGGGATGAGCTGAACCAGGAGAGTTTGGGTAAAGCTCTGAAATGAGGGAAAAAGCAATACCTTTAGAAATAGCTTTTCAAACATGCGACAGATTGGTATGTGAAGAGTCTGCTCCAAACAAAAGCTGATTATTTTGATACTCAAAGTTCATAGATGTCTCCAGTTGCAGCTGCGTGGTGTCTGTGTGCCTCTGATTGTGATCTCTAGAGCGAAACCTGCCCCAGCTCTCATTCTTGGAGTTCTCTCATTTTTTTAAAGGCAGTTTCTAGTGTTGATGGGTGATTATCTGATTGGTCCCACAGTTTGGTTGGCATCGGGCATGCAGGAAATCTATGCTGACCAGGAGACGATTGGCAAGATCTCAGCTGCTGGCCAATGTAAGTTTGTTTTTATAGAGCGAGTCCTTTACCTTCTGAATTCTATGTCAGTGCCTTGGAAAGGTCTCTATGGAGTGGGCAGGCTGCCAACGAGCTCTGTCAAAGATGCTGGGGAGCTGGTCTGTTTCTGCAAGCAGGGGTGACACAAGGGCAAGTCTCTGAAGGTGGGATAATGGGCAGATCTTTGGGAGACGTCTCTTCAGTGCCTTGCAACTGTTCAGAGAGTTTGTTTAGAAAACCAGAGTGTGCTTTGGAAAGTGTGCTGTAGATGAAGGAAAGTGTGCTGTAGATGAAGCACATCTGGCTCAGCGGGATGTGGTGCACCCTGTAAATGCCTCGCAATTCTCTCCTGTGTCTCAGGCTGGAGATGGGGCTCCCCCTGTGCTTGTGGTCTCTCTACATCCACCTATCAGAGCTGCTGGCTCAGTTGCTTTGCTTGGGTTCACAGCACCATGCTTGGAACCTGAAATCTGAAATGTCAGGGGAAAGTCTTGTGAACTATGAGCACTGAACGGAACAGGAAGGGGGGAGCATGCAGGGCTTGGTCTGGGAGCGTGGAACTGCTCCAGTGTGTGTTCTGTAGGGCCAACTATCTGCATTTTTTCCATTTGCTTCTAAAAGGCAAGACAAATCCAGGTGATTTTATTTCTTTTTCTTTTTTTCATTGTTTTTTACAACATCTGCCTACCCTTATTCTGCAGTCACCTGTGACCCAAGCGTGTATCTTGTTCTTTTCTAGTGATGTGGTGCTCAGCTTCTGTTGATATCCTTTTCCTCTTGGATGGCTCCTACAGCATTGGCAGAGGCAGCTTTGAAAGATCGAAGCACTTTGCAGGCAAGCTCTGTGATGCCCTGGACATCCATCCGGGCAGGGTGAGTGTTGGGAACGATTCCTTTTGCTTTCAAGCAGCTTGATGAAGTGTGAGAGGGCCAGTGGAAACTTATTGAGTGAAATGGCAAAATTAACCTAGCAGCTGCATGAGTAACAGCAGGTCTTAGCCAGATGCCCTGTTGTTTCATCCCTGCAGATATATCTGCAGAATCTGCAGAATACCTGCGGATTCTGGGGGCTGCTTTCTTAAATGCTATACTTCTCCAAGCCTTTCTGTTAATCCTTAAATAGGACTGAAAATCAGTAGCCTTTTTAGCTTTGAAGATGTCACATTCCACTAAGCTTCTTCTAAGGCTTCAGTGCAATATTCTGGGCAGTATAAGTGTTTTTGCCAGTTTATGTTTTTGGGCATTTTCAACTATCGTGAATGGTTTTAGGGCAGGCAATGGAAAAATAATTGCCTGCTGTGCTCAGTGCAAGAAGGGGCTGCTGTTAGTAACAGAAATGCTGCCCCCAGTGAGTCTAATTGGCTTGGTATAAAAGGTGTTGCATATAAACTTACTATGTTTTTGAGGCTCTAAGCTGCTCTGAGAGGATAAATACAGATCTTGCAGCTGTAGCAGAGGCTTCCATGTTTTTTGCAGCTGAGCTTTTTTTGCCTTGTTTGTAATCTGTACGGATATTACTGTGCTCTTTTCTGAAGTTCATTTAGAGTGCCAGGAGTTTGACATGCAAAACAGTGTTTGTTGTGGTAGGATTTAGTGTTCTCCAATCTGTAAATTGTTCAAAAGAGTGACACCCACACAGACACTTTTCTTTCATACTCTAACCTTTCCTTTTAGGTCCGCGTAGGAATGGTACAGTTTAGTTCTGCTCCCCACCTTGAGTTCTCATTGGATTCCTACCTAACCAAACAACAAGTGAAAGAGAGGATCAAGAGGACAGTGTTCAGGTCAGCTTATTCTGAAGGTCTTCTCTTTTTCTGGGCTGTGAATGATTTCTGGACTGAGAACTTCCTGAAGTGTAGACGTTGGCACCTCAGCTGTGTGCATACCAGTGTGGTGCACTCAGGAAAGGGGATGAATGTCCAGTGCCTGTGATCCGTGATGCATGGGCTGTCTTTGTCACTGCAGGCTGATAGGGATGAAGGCTTTCAGCGTCCTTCTCTAAGGTGGTCAATAGAAGAGCATTTCTGTGCTGGGCAGTGGGTTATGTCCTTCCTCAGGCAGGAGATGCTGGGTTGGTGCACCCTGCCATCATTTGCAGGGCTGCTGCAAGGATGTGCTCACATATCCACAGCCATGGCTTATAGAAGCAGCAGCAAGCATTGTCTTCCCATCCATCTAAGCATTGGCAGGGCAGTGTGCAGCTTGCATTTCTGGTGATTACAATTTCCTTTGTCCTCGGAGGTAGTGATGAATTGCTAGTCCCTTGAAATCTGTGCATGTGTTTCTGCTGAATTCAAGAGGATCTGGTTTTCAGACAGAAGCCTTTTTCTTCCTGAATGTTAAGACTTGGATGTGTTCCCATGACCTCAGGAAATGGAGCAAGAAGCCCAGAAACTCTCAGAGGCTCTCAAAACCCAAACTTTTAATCTCTGAGTAATATTTTCGGATTTAGAAAGGATCTGACATCTACCCCAAATAACTCTTGTTCTGATTAAAGGAGTGTCAATACAGCCTGCAGGTGCCGGCTCCTTCTTTTGTCCATCTGCACTAGTGCTGCAGATTGGCTGGGCATTTCTCAGGGATGTCTGCTGCTCTCAGCATACTGCAAGCATACTGATCAGTTTTGACTTCCAGACAAGATCAGTTGGCTGGGTTTTGTTGCACTACTTTTGATAAGCTTATAAAATCTTGTATAATGTTACAGAGAAAGCTTAGCAGAAAGCAAGACGCATTTCCTTTCCTTGGCTGTGGCTTAGAGGTGTGTGAGAGCAGCAAAAGAGCAGCAGTGTTCAGTGCCTGGCAGTGAAATTCCTTGATGACAACAGAAGGATGCTGACAGATCAAACAGAAATAATGATCTTGCGCTTGGCCATTTCATCTAGTTTAAATGAAAACCTGACATTTCAAAGTAGATAAAATAGTTACAGACAGATTCCAGTTGGCTTCTGAAGAAGCAGGGTGTTTGGTGTCTTGGTTGAAAGACTTCCTGATGTGCTCCTGATGAGCCTTTGGCCAGCAAGGCATTTCCCAGCCTCACCCTCTGCTCCTGGTACAGTGCTGAGAGAGGCAGCCCCAGGCTGTGGAGAGGCAGTTGTTGATTTATTCCGAGACAGACGGTCTCTTTCTGTTAATTTCATCCAAATAGCTTTTGAATGCAAGATTCAAAAGCCCAGATTAACTAAATTTGGCAGTGATCTCACAAGCAAAATCTCTTATAAATTTGTTTCATGCAAGTTCCGTCACAGTAGAGAAACCTTAGTGCTCGTTCTGAGGAAAGGTAGCAGGTGAAGTCTGCATCAACTTTGGCTTCAAAAAGTCCTTATTGGATGTGTGTTTAAGGCCTTCATCCACTGTGCCACAAGCCAGTGAGACTCCAATTGCAGATCAAAAAGAAAGCGAGTTTAACGAGCTTTGATGCATGGAGACTCTTTATTAAGTTTTTCTAATCCTCGGTGCTCCTGAAGGCGCAGTTTGCTGTGTCCATCAAGATGTTGTCACCAAACTGTGCACGGTATATTTTCCCTCATGCCCTGCACTTATCACTGAAGCATCTGACAGTTGCTGACATCTGGTCAGAAAAAAGGCTGATGTGGACAGACCATGAGCACACAGTCGCTGTGCATGCTCTGAGATGGTGGAGAGCAGAAAGAATTTTGAACTGAAATGGCCTGGCAGGTACCGGGTTAGAAAGTCTGTGTGAAAATCAGAGAGTAGACAGAAAAGCATGAACATGGGGGATTGGAACTTGGTGATCCTTGAGGTCCCTTCCAACCCAAGCAATTCTATGATTCTGTGAACTTGGGTATGATCACATGCTTTTCTAGAACAAGCAAACTAGATAGTAAAGCAAAAGAAGAATGTTCAGAAAGGAAATGGGAGTGTTTGTGTCTCAGCACAGTTGGAGGAGGTGCCTCCGAGAGGCTGCTGACACTTTTTTGTTTTGGCTCCCCTTGCTTGCTCTGGCTGGAAATAAAAGCAAGCCTTTAAGGCTGTCACAGGAAGAGATTTATAGCACAGCTTCTTGGGCAGAATTAGGTGACAGATGGAATGTCTCCTCTCATGTAGCAGCTTAGTTATCAGCAGGTCTGGAGCGTGTTCCTAGAGAGATGGGCTCTGTCTGATATTGCAAGTCCAGTCAGGGACAGCATACTACAGAGCTCTTGTGTTGTGCCAGTGGAGAACTACCAAAAGGGTGAGACTTTCTCCAGCCTTTCTTTGCCCAGAGAGGTGGTGGATGCCCCATCTCTGGAGACATTCAAGGTCAGGCTGGATCAGGTTCTAAGCACTTGATCAAGCTGTAGGTGTCTCTGTTCATTGCAGGGGAGTTGGAGCACATGACCTTTAAAGGTCTCTTCCAACTCTAAGGATTTTATGGATCTAAGAGCCATTCTCTGCCTCATCTTCAAGGTCCCTGTTAGGTTACCCATAGCTTTTGCTGAAGTAAGTCTTTGTTGTTTTTGTTGTGTTTATTCCTGCTAGAGACTGTCATTTCATGTATCATTTTTATGACATTTAATGGTATGTGGAACATGGAGCTCACCCTTGAGTAGGCATCTGAAACAGTCTATTAAGTTAAGTCTCGTAAGCAAAGAACAGTCTTTGCCCCACAGAGCTCACTGTCAAGTACTACTAGTGTAAAAGTGCAGCATATAAAGACAGCCACATCTTGTATTCTCTCTTGTGTATGCATAGCAGTCCTCTTCTTATTGTCCTCTATAGCAGCAGAGCACAATAGCAATTAAATCGCACCTTCGGGGAAAAAAAAGAAAGGATTCTTTGGCAAGCTGTACCTTGTTTTCTGAAGAGGCTTTTAAGGTTGCTTTGCTTGCGAGTTATTTGTTATTTCGCAGCTGTGAGGCTTGAGGTCTGCCCTTCCCCAACACTTAGCAACAACCTATTTTACCAAGTTGATTTGTATCACTGCTGGAATGTTGTGCCTTGGCACCTGAGTCTTGGTGCTTTGTTACGGTGAGGATCAACAAGTATTGAGCTAATTACTTCCTACCCAGAAGCATTCCCTTCTCCTGGGCGGAATTCAAGGGCTGCCAAAATACTGAGATGGCTGGCATGCATCCACAAACTGCTTCTGTGGGGCCGGGCAAGAGGGAGAAAATGGTTTATCACAGGATACAAGTGAGTTGAAAAGGATAACTCATTGTGTTTAAAATGACCTGATGCCTGTTTCACATGATCCCATCTTGAGAAGTGCTGTGTGCAGCCTGTATGAATGCCAGTGGCTGATGCAGCTTCTCTGTTGTACCAGTGCTGCTGGCATACAACGAGGTGAAGGTATTGCTTTCAATTGAGTTTAGTGGTGGTGTAGACAGCTAGAGCATCAGGTGGCTTTTCTTTATGCTTACTTTGCTAAGGGGGTACTGGCGAAGCCCTGAAGAAAACATGCCTTGTATTTGTTACTTCTGAGTTTCTGGGGGCATGCTAAGAAGCTTTCAGCATTTGTATTTTCAAAAGCTTTCGTACAGGATGGATAAGTTAACCCCTAGATTAGCGCAGGAGAAAAAGGCACAGACTTCCTGCACACTGCTGGACTGCAGGCTTTTGGTCACAGTCTGCAGTGCATAGCTCTCCTGCTGTAGGTCTTGGTCTCAGAACTGCAGAAGATCCACCGGAGGAAAAGGGATGACATACAGCAAGAGTGTAGAGCTCTCCTATGCATCAGGAGAAAAACACCAACATCACAGAAGTTTTCCATGTTCTGCCCTGCTGTGCTATGTTTCTGACTGGAATTTAAGAGGTTATTGTTAAACAGTGTTTTCAGATGGCTCTTAAAGGAACTTCAGGTGGAAAAACAGAAGTAATTGAGGTGTCTATCACAGCTGGAAATAATGTAAGTATCCTATAGGTCTGGTTACTGCTCTGGTTGCAGGAGTGCTCTGCTGTGCTAAGTCTTCTGGAGACAACTCTAGATTGAAAAGGAGAGAGGCAAGGATAGATAGGTAGGGCCTACGGAAAGATGACAAAAAATGACAGGATTAGACATCTCTCTGGATGCCCTGTATGGCAACAGACAAAAATACGCAAAGTTCATCATTACTGAGGGATGGAAATTTGAAAATCAAAAGGCAAGTTCAATAGCAATAGAAGAAGTTTGATTTCTGTTTTTCCCATGTTTTCTCCCTTGTCTCTAGAGGTGGCAGCACAGAGACTGGTCGGGCTCTGAAATACATTCTCCATAAGGGATTCCCTGGTGGCAGGAACTTGACTGTCCCCAAGATCCTGATCATCATTTCGGATGGGAAGTCCCAGGGCAGTACCGCAATGCCTGCCATGCAGGTGAAGGAGAGAGGGACAACAGTTTTTGCAGCGGGAATCAAGTTTCCAAGGTAGGAAACCTTCCACACATTTGGAAATGAAGGCCCAGTTCCCCAAATGCCAAGTGTGGGATTTTGTATTCAGTTCTTTAGGGGTGACGTAGGGCCTGGTTATACCAGCGGCTGAACCCTTTGCTCCGCAGGTGGGAGGAGCTGCATGCTCTGGCCAGTGAGCCCACTGAGCAGCACGTGCTCTTTGCCGGTGATGTCAGCGATGCAGCCAATGGTCTGTGCAGTGCCCTGAGCAGCTCCATCTGCAGCGTCACCACACCAGGTAACCCCAGGCCTGGCCCCTTCTTACACCTCGCCTTTGAATTTTGTTTGAGTCACTGAGTGAGGAAAGATGAGGTGGTGTCAGAAATGGTACCTAGAGCCAGGGTGTCTGAGGTCCGTGTCTTGGAGCAGTCACACTGAGCATCAGTTGCTTTGAGATAACCTGTTTCTGGTGACCAGACTTGTCAGATGCCTCTCCAGATAGCTATAGGTTGCAGGATCCTAAGTCTTTCTGTGGCATTCACCTCAGGAAATGGGAATGCTGCTCGTTGCTCATGTCATGGGTAAAAGAGGGATTATTCCTTCTAGAGACTATCACTTCACAGTTCATTTTTTATGATGTTTTGTGGTACATAGAGCACAGATCCACTTCTTGCATAGGCACACAGCTGTGCTAAATCTTCTTTCAGACTTGGCTATGTGGTAAGTCAGGCATGGCTCGCAAGAGATGGAAGAGGCAGCCATGTGGAGACTAGAGTGGTCCATAGGTAAAAGCAAATCAAATATGTGAGTAATGAGGGCACCGGAGCACTGAAAAGTGCTGCTGAACTCAACAGTGCCAGCTGTGTAACAGAGCCGAGGAGGCAGAAGAGTGTGTACAAAGCTGGAATATACTGAGATTGACCTCAGAGAAATTCTCTTCTGGGGTCTCACAGAGGCACTTTTGACAGGTAGATGAAGAAAGCTAATTTGCTTCAAAGTGGGTGCTCTGTGCCTGCACAGACTCTGTATTTTTAGGCAGTTGGTTTGCTCTTCGCTACAGGTTGCAAAGTTGAATCCTTTCCTTGTGAACGCAGAACTCTGGAGACTGAGAAAGAACTGGCTGGAAGCTATGTCTGCTGGAAAGGCTCAAAGCAGCAGAAAGCAGTGCATGCTTCACTGTGCCCTTTTTACAGGTGAGTCTGACACCCACATCTGACCATGGCTTTCCTGGGATGAAGACAATGCCTTCTTCAGTATGGCAAATACAAACTTGTGCTCAAGGCTTTTATTTTGTAGAATCATTTAGGTTGAAATGTCCTCTAAAATCATTGAGTCCAAAAGTCACGTCTTCTTAGATTAAGGAAATGATGGAGGGAGTTGAAAAATCCTACGGGGAGGCATAGTTGAGGGCTGAGGTTTCCCAGTCTAAACCTTGTCTTTCTGGTTCCTATTGCAGCTGGATAAGCTAGAAGCCTGAATTAATGTTGAATAAGAAACTCATACTGCTATAAAATTTTAATTCCAATTTAGAACAAAAAAGTTAACTTATTTTCTGTAGCAACTTAAAAAAATATATATCATTTGAAGCCTTAAAGATATGTCCATCGTCCTTAATTCTAGAGTGGTGGAAGCATAGACTATCCTGAATTGGAAGGAACTTAAAAGGATCATCGAATCCAAATTCTGACTCCACACAGGACCACTGGAAAATCAAACCATATGTTTGAGAGCATTGTCCAAATGCTTTTTGAACTCCAGCAGTGTTATGGTGGAGTTCAAAAGCAAAAGAGCAGACTTGATAAAATGAAGTGTTTTAGTTTTGCAGCTTTACTTAGAATAGATGTTTTCTTTCAAAATATTTGTTTTGAAAAATTGCCTTTTCAAAGGAAAATTTGTTCCATTGAAAACAAAGTAATACTAGCCTTGAAATTGCCTTGTTAATCTTTAAAGCCACTATAGATTTGATTGTCCTGTTCAATAATGAACTTCCCATTTCAGATTGAAAAGAGTCTCAATAAAACACCCATCCAGGTGCTTCCGAACCACATGCACAGGTAGGACTATTATCTTATTTGAATCTTATTTACAAAGCAGAAAAGGTAGCAAAGAGGCAGTTTTTACCCTCACTGCTAAAACTTTTGTTCTGAGTGAGAGTTTGAGGCACTGAGTCTGGTTGGAGGCCTGTACCTAGTGGTGTCCCCCAGGGCTCTATACTGATTCCAGTCTCATTCAACATACTCATCAGTGACCTGGATGAAGGCACAGAGTGCATTCAGCAGGGTTATTGGTACCAAATTGGGTGGAGTGGCATATATGCTTGAGGACTGCACTGCCATTCAGAAAGACCTTGACAGACTGGAGATGTGGGCAGAGAAGAACATAATGAAGAATGTGTTTACACAGACATAATTTCAGTGGCATTATTGCAAAGCAAAAGCAGTGAGGTTACAGTCTGCTTTGCTGTCTTCACTGCTGGCAGCTCTTCCATCTGTGTGAAGATGCACACGGCCCTGCATCAGTTCATGCTGCAGGAAGATGGGCTGAAGTTTGGCCCCTTTTCCACAGTAATGGTTGTGTTTGTGTTGTCACAGGATGGGAAGGTGCATGTTCCCTGCTGACTTTACGTCTTCTCCTTCTTTGGTTCCATTTAGATCCTTGTGACTCCCAGCCTTGCCAGAATGGGGGTACATGTGTCCCAGAGGGACTGGACAAGTACCACTGCCTGTGCCCTGTGGGATATGGAGGAGGCATACACTGTGGTAGGTGTCAACCTGACTTCTCCCTCCTTCCTTCTCAACTGTGTCTTGCCTTGGTAAGTGGCCGTGGGAATGGCTGGACTTAGGCTGCAGCCTTTGGGCCGTGTTCCAGGGGATCAGCTGAATTTTCTCTTATGCCATTTCAATATACTGAATCAGGCCTAGTGACTGGGTCTCACCAATACTGATAATGTCACCCTGATACAACTACCTTAAATGTAGGTAGAACACTAGTAGGAGAACGGAAAAACTGGGAGGGATGTAGAAGCGTTTGTCCCTACACACATGGGCCCAGGAGGGACTCCCAATTTGGGGAGTTCAGTATAAGCCTTTAGAGGCTTGTGTGGCATCCACCCAAAACAAAGATCACTCTTGGCAGAGCTGCCCTGCAACTCGAGCCATGTCTGGCAAACCATTTAGGCTGCTGGACACAACAGACCTTTCTACACCACCGAGCTTCCATCAAGCACCAGCAGAGGCGCTCAGCATGCTTGTTTCTGCCGTGCATACAAGAAACTGCTGTCTCTCTTTTCAGCGCCAAAGCTGAGCCTTGATTGTGGTGTGGATCTCCTTTTCCTGATGGACAGCTCAGCAGGGGTCACACTGGAGGGATTCCTGCGTTACAAGGCGTTCCTCAAGAGGTTCCTTCAAGCAGCAATGGGCTGGGACTCGCCTGCAAATGTGGGGGTCGCTCAGTACGATACCAACGTCAGGATACCCATTGAAGTGGGACAACACAAGGATGTGTTTGGTCTCATGAAGAGCATTGATGCTTTGAATTTCAGCGGGGGAGGAACCCTGACGGGCAGAGCCCTGCGGTACATTGCACAGCATGGTTTTAGGAGCGCCCCAGTCTTTGCAGATGTGCTGGATGACCTCCCACGTGTGGTGGTCTTGCTCACTGACTCCAAGTCCCAAGACCCAGTGGCAGAAGCTGCCAAATATGCAAGGGACAGAGGTCTCTTGTTGATCGGTGTAGGCAGCAGCTTTGTGAAGGCAGAGCTGGCTGAAGTGACTGGCAACCCAAAGCAGACCATTGTCTACTCAGACCCCCAGGATTTGTTCAACAGGATCCCGGAGCTGCAGAGAAGAATTTGCAGTGTGAACAATCCTGAAGGTAAGGAAGTGATGCAAGGGATGCAGGAGAAGTTTGTCAAACCAAGAGGTCTTCTGACCTCTGTTGGGGTGTAGTGGAGGTAGAAGGATGAATGTCCTCATTTTGCTTGTGTCAGTCACAGGTGAGGCACTAAGCTTCCATCATTGCTCTTATGATGGAGCTGTATCTGTTGATGTTAAAAGGCCTTATATCACCCTTCACAGTCAGTGATTGGCAGCAATGAAATTGGCCCACAATTTATTCCCACTGCTTTTTTTGGAATACATCTACATACTGAAAAATACAGTGTTTGCACTTTTATCCAGGCTGCCAGGTGCAGTCTCTTGATTTGGTATATGCAATGGATGCCTCAGCTGGAGTTGGCCTGGTGAATTTTCTGCAGCTGAGGGACTTTGTCAGGAGCAGCTCTTGGCACTTCACCATCAACCGGGATGTCACCCAAATTGCCCTTGTGGCCTATGGCAGCAGAGCTTACACTGTTTGCATTGGACACCCACACAAACAATTCAGCTCTCCTCCAAGCCATCAACCAGATGCCTTTCCTTGGAGACATTGCCTCTGCCAGCAGTGCCTTACTCCACATTAACAGAGACGTGATGACAGTGCAGAAGGGAGCAAGGCCTGGTGTCAGCAGGGTGGTGGTGGTGCTCACAAATGGAGGTGGCATGGAGGATGCAGCTGCCCCAGCTCAGCAGCTGAGAGACAACGGTGTCATGGTGTTTGTGGGAACGAAGAGAGAGACACCCTGCTGAGGGTTGCTGGGTCTCCCAGTTACCTGGTGTGCATCTATTCCTATGAATACCTGCAGCATTACCAAGACCTCATCACTGAAAGAATCTGTGAAGGTGAGAGCATCCTAAACTTGCTATTTATGATGCTACCAGCAGCTTGTGGTAAACTGTAAAACAAGCACAGAGGGGACTTTCTTCTGTAGCCTGTGTTATTGTAGGCTTTATGATGTGTTAATGAGTGATCTTGTTGTCACTTCCACTTAACAGGTGGGGAGGCCATGGTATTGAGATCTGGTGGTTGTCCAAAGCATTCCTAATGGGAATAGGAGGCAGCTTTCCCAAGGTTCAGTGCAGGTGGTGAGATGAGGCTTCATGTGACTGCTCTTTCTATCCCTGTCATGTCTATGTTCTGCCTTCACTGAAAGAAAAAAATATTGCTCTTTGTTTTTGTTTTTTGACATTGCTTTTAAATCTGTAGAATTCACTGTGCATTGCTGTAAGCTCTGTGGTGTAGCTGAGACTGAAGGGAATGCATTTCTGCAGCCACCAGTGTTGGTCCTTCAGTGAGTTCTCTGCTAGCTCCTTCAGCAGCTTTGTGCACGTGTTCCTCCTCAGTGTCCCACTGTGAGACACTTAAGATTTTGTTGGCATTGCACAGCATTTAATCCTAAATCAGGATCTGTCTCGTTTTGAAGTTTGCATGCTAGAAAACTGAGGTCTTCAGACAAATTCTGCTTAATTTTGTTTGCAGGACCAAAATCCTTGGCTCTGAGGCATTCAGGGGAGCATAATTTTCAAATATTCATGTAAAAGATTGTGCAAAACAAAAAATTGTACTTTCTTCACAATTTCACATCTTGAGGACCAGTCCCCAGCTGGGAAAAAAATGAACTCTGAAGTCAAGTTTGAAACATTGATGTGTTTGTGAGTGCTTGTGCTTGTGCTTGTGCTTGTGCTTGTGCTTGTGCTTGTGCTTGTGCTTGTGCTTGTGCTTGTGCTTGTGCTTGTGCTTGTGCTTGTGCTTGTGCTTGTGAGTGAAACATGATGAGTGTGAGTGCTTCTGTTTGATTGAACTGAGCGTTTCAGGGAGGAAAGCAACCTGGGTTTTTAGGCATTAGTGGTAGAGAAATGTTTTTAGTTCCTTGCTGCTCCAGCTAATCCACATCGTTTCACGTTCAGAATAGTCTAACATCTGTCTTTGTGGTCTGGTGTTTTAACCCCTATGTAAGATCAGATGAAGATGCAATTAGAGCAGTGCTGTGATTAACGGCACAATCAAAGCCTGTCTTAATGTATTGGCATGCTGTGTCTCTTTTGGGGTTAGAAAAGACAGCAGAGCCATCTCTGTGGTCGGAGCAGCCTGTCTCCTGGCAGGCTCCTGCAGGCAGTTTGTACCTGGAGCTTTTCAGTCTGCATCTACTGCAATGGTATTTTCAGCTGTGTTACTATCAAAACAATCTACTGTACCATGAAATTAACCACAAGGCCACGGGTGAAGGGGAAGAGACAGCAAGGTTCAGTGATTCTGGGTAATAACGTATCATTTCCTGAGACTGAATTGTTGCTTTCATTTCATGTGCAGGTAATCACTGTTTGTACATATAGGCTGGGGCCAAGGCTGATGGAAAGATAAGCCCTTCATTCAGTCTTCTGCTCCAAGTCCAAGGCTTAATAACAGAAGCTCTGTCTGTGAAAGAACTAAAAAAAAAAAAAAGGACTTGTCATAAAAGCATGTGAAAAACAGCCCCTGCCTCTGGACACCTGGAGTATTGTGTTCTGAGGCACGGCTGAAAAGAGGCTGGGAAAAGTGTCTCGGGCTCTGGGAGAAAAGATCCAAAGCAATAACTGTATGTAATATCTGCCTAATGAAAACACAACTTCCTGGGGTCGCTGTGGGGTGAAGTGAAAGATGCTTATTTAAGGTGATGCAGTGTTAATGGTAGGCTTGAGTGCAGGGTTAATGGTGTGTGGGCAGAACAGCATGCTTCCCCCAGCAGGGACCCCTGGGTCACACACAGTGGGCACATGTTCTGCAGAGCAGAGACCAGGAGGGCTCTCTGGGCAGCAGGAAGGGCACAGATGTGTTTGGGTATGAGGTCCCTCTGACTGTGCTGTGGTGGCTCTGCCATCAGTGCTAAATGCGAAGGCATTCCCTTGGGGGTGCGTTGTGAGGCAGAACCCCATCTGGGATCTGTGACAAAAGGGTTGTTTGAGTCCATGTAACGACAGCAGGAACTGAAGACTGAAATTGTTCAGATCTCAGTAAGTAGATAACTGCCAATCGTAGGTATGTGTTTGAGTACTGGTGTGTATCAGCACACCTATACGGGGAGAGCAGCTATTATGTGCTATAATGTGTAGTAAGCATTCTGATGGATAGGGGGTGGAGTTTGTATTCTTTCCTTCTCCCACCTTATTCCCATTGTCTGTTTTTTCCTACTGTGGAGCAAAGGGCAAGGCTGCAGGTCCAGGCTACACCATGCAGTGGTTTGGTGAAGGAATTTCACACCCTTCCCAGCTCTGCTGCAGGGATGCCAGAAGGCTGCAAGCAAATTCCTCTGGGATGCTGCTACTTAGCCCAGTGCATTCACAGCATGGAGCCCTGCCAGCCCTGCTGACAGCTGAGCTCTGTTCTCTTAAGGGGGCTGGGAAATCTGTCACATACTTCAAAAGAACAGAGCTAATAACAGCTTAGGCTTGTGGGCTTTTCTCTCTAATCTCCAAGAAAAAAAAAAAAGCCCTGAAATATTTCTTTTGTTTTTTTCACTCATTTGTGAATGATTTCTTGTTCTTGCTTCCCTCACATATAAACTCAGCTCCTCTCCAGAGCACAGCAGGGTTTGAACTCCAGAGGTATTTGGGGTTGTAAACTGCTTGGGGCGTGTGTCCTGCTCTGCATTGGCAATGTCTGGACCTAGGGGCTTAGAGGCGCTTGTGCGTTCAGCACACAGCTCTGAAGATGCTCCATTTTAGAATCAAACATGTAGCAAAGCCAGCCTTTCTCTTCTGTAGTTTAAACACAAAGGAGTTTGTTGCAGGCTTACACTCTCTGCCAAATTTGTGTGTATCACGTTCTGCTTTCCCCAGATGATGTTTTCTGGGGATTGGGTTATTTAATTGCTGTCATTGTTCTCTGAAGCATTGCTAATGGATGTGCGTTTAACAGTTAATACTCCATCAATATGCCTGACCCCACTGTTCTGTCTGTATTTGTTGCAGAAGCAAAAAGCCCTGTGAACCTGTGCAAACCCAACCCGTGCATGAACCAGGGCGTGTGCATCCTCAGGCCGGGAAGCTACTGGTGTGAATGTCATGGCTGGGAAGGACTCCACTGCGAGAGCAGTAAGGCTCAGGGGATGACAGCTGCAGCACCTGCCCAGCCCCACTCAACCCATCCCAAATCTCCACCTCTTCCTTAGCAGAGAGCTGGCTGTAGTTCCCTGTCAGCTGTTTGGTGGCTGGGTCTTGGTGCTGAGGGGATATGAGTCACATGGAGAGTAGAGATGTTTGGGATGCTGAGCTGCACTGTTTTACACATTCACTAAGCGAGTTAAAGATTGAGAAGGTCTAATAATTTTGGTAGTCCTCCCCTCCATTTGTTTCCCTTTCCCTGGGCCGTGCTAGAAGAAACCCTTCTCATGGCTTCTAATGTCTGTGAGATGTTAGACATCAGGCCCAGCAGGTTTGCTTCTAACATCTGTGAGCTAAGGCTCAGAAGGTGTTTCCTAGGCTGTAAGGGACTGAGCATGTTCCTAGAGCGCTTACCCACATTTGTTTCTCTTCCTCTACAACAGGAGTTCCCTGAGGTGATTCTCCAAGATCTCCAGTCCTCCCTACAGACTCCCATGTGCAGCAGATTCCAGGCAGTTTTTAGTGCTTCTCTGGAGACCACCGGCACCTGAAAAGGTCCTGAGATGCTGACCCAGAAGTGCTATGAGCTCCAGTTCTGACCCAGCAAGACATTGCTGCCCTTGGTTGAGTGACTGGGCCATTCCCAGTTCCTGCACTGCACAAACTGGGCTTTCTGGTGCTCTTTTTCTTTTGGAATCAAGTAAATATTTGATATTAAGTATTTATTTTTGGCATTTTTATGTGTAATTGTTATATTTTGAACGGACTCCTTGAGAGGTCTTAGAGTTAGACTGAAAACATGTAGACATCTGAACAATTCTGGAGCTCCCACTGATGGCAGATTATGGAGATGGCAGCTCTGGTTCCCAGAGCATAGGTTTTTTTAAGAAAGTGTTGAAGCAATAGGCTGGGTCAGACTCTGAGTCAGCTGACGTCTTGGTGTTAGCTTTTGCCTCATTCTGAAGATTTGATTGTCTTTCTAAGCTGATACTTGATCTTAGCCAGAAGTGATACTTTTCAGTGCAATAACTGCAGAATGAAATCAAATACAATCCCTGGTGAGCAGGGACTTACCTGGAGGAAGGGCTGACATTTTGGTAGAAAGAGAAATGATTCTACCAAGATCGTTCATATAGGCAGCACTGCATAAGCACTGTCTCCACTGCATAAGTGTTATCTGAAGGGAGAATGGGTGATACCAGGTTCACAGATAACCTCAGAAGCCGTGGTTTGTGTTTGTGGAGATGGCTGGATTCCAGCTGAGCTGCACAGGAGCCTCTCCCCAATCTCTCTGTGCATCCCCTGCTGGGTGCTGGGTCCAAGATCATGACTTCTTCCCCTCACTGCCCTGTTTGCAGTCCTCCCTTTCTGCAGGGCTTTACCAAAGGAGAGCACAAACCCATCAGCACAGCCCAGTGGCCCTGCTCGTAGGGGGCAAAGCACTCTGTGAGGTAAGGACGTGTCAGGACAGCGGGAGGAGAGGGAACAGCCAACCTGGTAAGTTGGGTTGGGGAATGCTGGATGTGCACTGATCCCACAGCTCAGCAGGACATGGCTGAGCAGTTGTTGGAGTTGTTCCTGGCTAATTTCTTGGTCCTTTCTCCTGCAAATCTTAATTAAAAAAGGGTAAGTGGCTCAGGGCTCTGACATAACTCCTTATTAAATTCATCCCCGCAGACTTGCTTTGAATTCCATCAGAAATGTTTAATGAGAATGTGTCTGAAAGGAGCTCATGTCCTGAAGGCTGGGGGATGCTTGAGCCTGGAAAGCCATGCAGGGGTCCCTGTGAGCCAGCACTAATCCTGTCTGGGTTAGCAGGGCACAGAGCCCATGGACAAGGCCAGCACGTCACTGGGTGTCAGGGCAGCTGCTAACAGAGCTGTGGATTCCTCTTAATCTGTATGATTCCAGCAGGAACCTTCACTGGTCATGGGCCAGGTGCTGACTGCAGGAGAGAGCCTATTTCTTCTGCAAGGAACTGGGATTTAGGTAAGTGCCATGAGTTTCACCCCCTTGGGTCTTACCTTCCTTTTGTCCTTGTGTTTCCTGTGCAACACAAGCAAAATCATGCCTGCTGTGACTAGTAAATATCACATGAGCTCTCCTTAAGGCCAGCTGTCTTCAGCTCACAATAAACATGCAAATCTTATTCTCTGCAGTACAAATAAATTTGTTAATGCCCCAGCTAATTAAGGTAGCTTCTACATCTTAACAAGAAATGTTCTTTTTCAACTTTAAAATGTGGCTGAGATCCTAGGAAACTGCATTTGTTAGCAGGTCAAGGTCAAGATCCATGGGGATCAAGGCAGGGTTGTGCTAGGAAAGGCTGGACCCGATACTGATGGGCAGAGCTGCTGGGGAGCAATCCTTGCTAACCCTTTTCCTTCCTTTCCAGCTAAACTCCTTCCTCCTTTTCCTGTCAGTGATGGGAGCAGGCACCAAGCACTGCACACAGTTGCCACGTGGTGGCAAGCAGAAGGTGAGGGACTTCTCACGCATTTTCCGTCTGCTGATTCATTTTGTTATTTGAGCTACTGGCAGGAGCCTATTTTGGGTTATTTGTGCAAACTACCAGGGATCTTTTCAGTAGGTTAGCTGACAGAAAGGTTTTTCATTTCCATTGCTGTCACTCTAGAATACTGAATTATTTGTTTAAGATTTAGTCCTTGTGGATGGCCTAGCTATGAACTTCATAATGGTGGTGGTTTGAAGTGCATGAAAGATACTAGAAAGCAGATCAGGGACAAGCCTCACTAACATAGAATACACTGGTAACATAATATAGTCAACATTTTATTATAAAACCCTCTAAAGCGCCACTTTATAGGTCACAGTTAGAATAAAGGAAATGCTTTGAGTTAAGAAAACAATGGGGACGCAGAGACATTACTTAACAATTCTTGTCTGGGAAACATGTTTACCACCCAGCAGAGCCAACAGGGCAGAAAGCACAGCTGCTCTCATCCGTGTTAGCTGGTTACAGCTGTGAGAGAGCTGAACAAGCTCTGCAGACAGCAGGGTGTAGGAGGAGAGTGTGGTGCTGTGTGTGTGCTTAGGGTGGGAACAGGAGCTCCTAACAGCTTAGGATGGGGCAAAACAAAAGCTTCTTGGTGTCCATGACCTCCCTGTGCTCTGGAGAGGAAAATCCAGGTGGATGGATTTCTCTGTGCCTCTCTTTGAATTGTAATGTCTCTAAGTTTTAGCAGTTCCAGGCACGCAATCTCTCTCATTGAACAGCTTGGCCACGGAGCAGAGGGATGAGCTTTGCCAGGACACAGCATCCAAAGACTATGTTAAGTTTTAATGATCTAGAAATAAGGGTGATAGCACCAGGACAGCTAGCAGCCATCCAGAGACAGGGAGGAGAGCAGGTCCAGCACCCATCTGAACCCATGCAAAGGGGCTCTTTCCCACAGGGGTGTTTAGCAATGTACAGCTGCTGCTAGGGGTCGTGCTGCAGCTCCACAGGGACCAGAGAGCATCAGCAGTGTGGTGCTGAGTGCCAGAGCAAGAGCACAGAGCTTCCTTTACCTCCTCTCAGAAAGGGCATCATATCCAGCATCCTCATTCAGCAGGGTAAGCAGGCCTGGGACTTTGGTACGTCATTAACAAGCCTTCAACTATGATTATTCTTTTTCAGAACAAACTCCTCAGGTGAAGGAGATCAAGATCCTCAAGAACTTTTAGTGACTCTGTTTGGAAGATCACTTTTGCACAGAGCCCTTGGTTCCACCAGTCTGTAACACAGCATGAGAAGGTGAGCAGGCATCCTCCTCCACATTCTGGCAAATCAACCCTACCACAGGCTGGTAGCATTAAGCCTGTGCATGATGCAATTGGTCACTGAAAATCCTTGCTGCATGTGTATGTACAGTCAGTTCCCTGTAATGCTGAGAGGGTCCTTCCTACTGGACAGGTGCCTGTGTGCTTCTCATCTGTGTCTTGCTGATGAGTCAGACCTGGGCATCTGGATGATCTGCAGCTGAGGGACAGCAGCAAGGCAGGTGAGACATTAGCTGGCTGCAATTTGCCATGACAGGTTGAAAATCATGGGGGGGATGAAGACTAGCAGAGGACCGCCCTGAACTCACTACTGTCACTAATATAGAAACCTTTATAACTCGTCAATAAACCTTCAGAGTAGAAATACACAAAACACCCCTATGTACAGTAACATTCTTGTTTACAGTAACTGGGTTAGGAATCTGATGCAAGGATTGCCACCAGTTGTTATTGTTTTAGCTACGTGATGGGACTTGTCTGGAAAGAGCAAGATTGTTTGGGATAAGTGGTAGCAGCAGCTGCTGACTCCACTGCTGCATCCAAGCAGGCGGCGTGAGGCGGAGGAGGTGTTTGGTGTGGGTTGTGCTGCACACCCAACATCCACCTACTGGTGTTCGAATCCCCTTTTCTATGCATGGGCAGTTCCAGTCTTTAGTCCATCTCTGAAAAATGTACTTCTAACTTGCGCCTTTTTTCTCCCATTCCTGCCAAAGAACAAAGGTGAATTAGTCAAAATGGTAAACCAGGCAAGCTGTGGTAGCTCTGATAAGCTCAGGAGCAGCCTGTTCATCTCTTAGCTAACTGGTTTTGGCTACCTGGCGGGTCAGAGAGTTCTGCTTTCATTACAGACTTCCCATTCCAGAAAGCAGAGGCACTGCTGCACATGAGCAGGATGGAGATAGTGTGCAACATTTAAAGGAGAGGCAAAGAAAAGCTCAGCCAGTGTCTTTCTTTTGTTACAAAGATAGAACATAGTAAGGAGAACTCCATATGAAGCAGTGGAGAAACTGAAACTGCTCCTGTCCATGTTGGGCTGCTGTTTCCAGCCACTGGAGATGTAGTCTGAAACCCCATGAGATGTCAGCTATATTGCTTGGGGCAGGAGCAGACTGTCACATTGCCTCCTAATTAAACCTCAAATGCGTATCAGCACAGTGAGAGTAAACCACTCGTTTACTCCAGTTGCTGCCAACACAAGCAGTGTGGCTCAGCTCCAGTTACAGTGACTAATTTAAATCACAGTCAGAACAAACTTGGGTGAAAGGACCAGAGGAAAACCAGGCTGCTGTGAAGCATGGGTCAGCATGCTTCCTAAACACCCAACCTGACCACAGCCATCCCTGCTGGGCTGCCTTGCTGCCAGGACAGGGAGCAGTGGTTACCCCACACACTCACTGGCACGTTACCTTAGCTTTCTGTAGGACTGTCCCCTTCCCTGTCACCATGACAGACAAAGGCCTGTTTTTCAGAGCCGTTGCTGAGTTGACTGGTGAGCTCTCTGCGCTAGTTGCTGGACTGGCAGGTTTTGTTTGAGTCTGCAACAAAAATAATGGAAATCACGATGACTTACTTCATTCTAGAGAGAGAAATTGTGGCCTTTTTTAGCACTATTGTGTAGAAAAGCTCCACAATCCCAACCCAGTTGTTTTCCAGTGGAACACTGACTTTGAAACCTACCCGGGGAGCTGTATTCTCCAAGTGCGTGGTGTCCACAGTGGTGCCCAATGTCACAGGACCAGATTCTGCCTTCTTCAGGTTCTCCTTCACCTCAACCAGGCTCAGCTCCAGGTCTACCCTTCGGCTTTCTTTCCTCTTGCACTCTTCATCTATCTCCTTGAGCCTCTGCTCCAGGTTCTTGTCTGCAAAAGCAGGTAAGGTGCTGCAGGAAATCGGGAGACCTGGGGGGTAACTGGGGGAGCAGAGATCAGCTACAGGAGTTTGT